ATCCCGAGTTGGGCTTAGGGTTCCCGAAAGGGGCTCTCATAATCGATTAAGATATCTAGGTTTATAGATCTGGGATTTCGACCTGTTCTCTGTTTATTCTTGTTCTTATTGCATGTATGCTTGATTGATCACCTAGTATCTGATCTAGATAGTTAGTGTTGCGAAAATTTTCATTAAGTATCAGCCCTAGAATGAAACAGCTGATTTTTCCGTAGGAGTGGAAACCTACCTGCGGCGAGATCGTGAGTATTGACAAGTCTTGTGCAGCTCTTGCGTTCTCTCCCTTCCAGGGCCAGAGTGGAAACCTACTGGTCAGGGTTGCGAGAAACATTTGGTTATGATCACGACAGTGACGTAGTCATACCGCCGTACTCTAGCTCTAGAACCCATATATCGTTATCCGTCAATCCCAATCTATCTACCTTAGTGTTAAAACCGATTATGATCCCTTAGAGTTCCCAAAAGCTCAGCGTTTTTAGCCATAGTTTACAAACCCATCGATTTTTACTTGCTTATTTAGATCTGCATTTCAATTACCTTAGTTCGATATTTACTTGCTTTACTTGTTTTCCATTCGATTTTTCTACTTGCTTTTTAGGATAGATTTATTTGCTTTCTTTAAGTTTTAGTTTAATTCGTGACAAACAACCAACCTTTAAAACCAATCTAGTCTAGACATAAAGTTAGAAACCATAGAAGAATACCAGGCACACAAATCTCTGTGGATTCGATCCCTAAATACTACAACTGATTAGCTGTGCACTTGCGGTTTTCATTTGTTTTTGTTAAGGGTAAAACTTGTTCCCTCACACAGTTGACACGACATCAACCAGGTAAGTAAAACCAACTTATATCTCACGACTGGTGCCATTTCAAAAACTCTAAGTGCCAAGGGCACTGTGTTACTAATGGTCTACAAAGAATGCTTGAGCACAGGAAATAAGGAGTTAGATATACCCCCGGAGATTCAAGCTCTCATTGAACAATTCAAGGATGTGTTCCCTGATGAGATACCTGCAGGCTTACCTCCAATTCGGGGAATTGAGCATCAAATAGACCTCATTCCGGGCGCAGCATTGCCCAACAAGCCAGCCTACAGAATGAATCCCGAGGAGAGCAAATAACTTGAGAGGCAAGTAAGATATCTGATGGACAAAGGCTATGTGCGAGAGAGCCTCAACCCATGTGTGGTCCCTGTGTTAGTACCTAAGAAAGATGGCACTTGGAGAATGTGCGTCGACTGTAGGGCTGTTAACAACATCACAATCAAGTATAGACACCCTATACCTTGTCTTGACGACATGCTTGATGAGCTAAGTGGTGCAACTATCTTCTCAAAGGTGGATCTCAAGAGTGGATACCACCAGGTGCGAATGCGTGAAGGAGATGAGTGGAAAACTGCATTCAAGACTAAACAAGGTCTTTATGAATGGCTGGTGATGACATTTGGATTAACAAACGCCCTCAGCACCTTCATGCGCCTAATGAACCAGGTTCTAAGGTCTTATATTGGTAAATTTGTTGTCGTGTACTTTGATGATATTCTTATTTACAGCAAGAGCTTACCTGATCATCTCATGCATTTAGAATTGGTTCTTAAAACACTTCGAAAGGAAGAGCTCTATGCCAACCTTAAGAAGTGCTCATTTTGTACTAATCAGCTTGTGTTTTTAGGCTTTGTTGTTAGTGAACAAGGTTTACAAGCGGATCAAGAAAAGATCAAGGCTATACAAGAGTGGCCACCCCTTCTACTATCAGCCAAGTTCGAAGCTTTCATGGCCTAGCAAATTTTTATCGCCGGTTTGTGCGATATTTCAGCACAATAGCCGCCCCACTAACAGCTGTTATCAAGAAGAACACACCATTCACTTGGGGAGCTGCCCAAGAAACAGCTTTTAACTCTCTTAAAACTCGTTTAACTCAAGCACCTGTCTTAGCCTTACCTGATTTTCATGTAACGTTTGAAGTTGAATGTGATGCTTCAGGATTAGGGACAGCCGTGTTGCATCAGAGGCAGAGGCCAGTGGCATATTTCAGTGAGAAACTAAGTGGAGCCACCCTAAATTACCCCACATATGATAAGGAGCTGTACGCGCTTGTGAGAGCATTGGAGACTTGGCAACATTACCTCCTCTCCAAAGAGTTTGTGATACATACGGACCATGAGACCCTCAAGCACCTGAGAGGACAAACAACTCTAAAGAGAAGACACGCCAAGTGGCTGGAGTTCATTGAGACTTTCTCTTATGTCATTAAGTACAAAAAGGGGAAAGACAATGTGGTGGCAGATGCATTGTCTCGGCGACATGCATTGATCTCAACCATGGAGGCCAAGGTCTTGGGATTCGAACACATCAAGGGGTTATACGAAGAGGATCCTGACTTCTCTGAGAGCTACAAGTCAAGTGGAAAGGGAGCCTTTGGAGCCTATTACCTGCACGATGGGTTTTTATTTAAAGACAAGAGGCTGTGCATTCCACAAGGGGCTATACGAGACTTACTAATAAGAGAAGCTCATGGTGGTGGCCTAATGGGACATTTCGGCATGAACAAGACTCTAGCCGTTCTGGTGGATCATTTCTTCTGGCCACATATGAAGAAAGATGTGGAGAGATTCTATTCTAAATGCATCACTTGCCGCAAGGCTAAATCCAGGTCACATCCTCATGGCTTATACATTCCTTTACCTATACCTAATGCCCCTTGGGTAGATATTTCCATGGATTTTGTACTAGGTTTACCAAAGATCAGGCACAAGGATTCTATATTTGTAGTGGTGGACCGATTCTCTAAGATGGCACACTTCATACCTTGTGCCAAAGTGAATGTTGCTTCGCAGACAGCTGACCTATTCTTTAAACGAAGTGGTGCGTCTACACGGGGTCCCTAGGACCATTGTGTCTGATCGAGACACCAAGTTCTTGAGTCACTTCTGGAAGACACTTTGGAGGAAATTAGGCACCAAGCTGCTCTTTTACACCACATGCCACCCCCAGACCGATGGACAGACCGAAGTGGTGAACCGCACACTCTCAACCTTACTCAGAGCCACCATCGGTAACAACTTGAAAAATTGGTTAGAGTGTCTTCCCTTTGTTGAATTTGCTTATAACCGAGCCACACACTCTGCTACTAAACTGTCTCCTTTTGAAGTTGTATATGGGTTCAACCCATTAACCCCTTTAGATCTCTCACCATTACCTCAAGTAGAATAAGTTAATTTAGATGGCTTGAAGAAGGGAGAGTTCATCAAGAAACTTCATCAAAAGGCCAAGGAGAACATAGATAAGAAGACCGAAGGGTACAAAAGGAGAGCTGACAAGAGCCGCAAAGAATTAGTCTTTGAACCCGGAGAATGGGTTTGGCTTCATATGCGGCCTGAACTGTTCCCACACAAGAGGAGCTCCAAGCTAGCACCGAGGGGAGATGGCCCATTCCGTGTCTTGGAGAGGATAAATGATAATGCCTACAAGCTTGAGCTACCAGGTGAGTTTAATATTTCCCATAGTTTCAATGTAGCTGACTTGTCTCCTTTTGATGCAGGTGAAACAGTTTTGAGGGCAAAACCTCTTGAAGAGGGAGAGAATGATGAGGTCATCGAGCACTCTAATGAGGATCCCAGTATCCCAACACTCCAACCAGGTCCCATGACTCGATCTAGAACCAGGAGCCTGCGTGAAAAGATCAACTTAGCCGTATCTAGTTTCATACAAGAACCCGAGGAGGAACAAGTAGAGGACGCGGCCCAAACTCAACTGAACCGGCCCCGGCCTTATGAGGAAAAAGGTATGAAATCTCTCTTGACAGGACAAGGAGTTGAGACCATCACAAAGCCCGAGGAGATCACCACTCAAGAGTCCAAGACAAGCAACACCAACCACTTAGCCAATAGCGATCAACTGGAGCTTGCACAAGAGACGCTAGCTGAGGAAGAGGCTGCCAAGGGAAGGATTCATGCACTTGAAACAAGCATGATCAACACTACCAAGGCCGCAGAAGACCACCTGAAGATCGCCCCAACACACGTCAAGAACAGCTCACTTCTCCCATGGCCTCTTTTGCGTGCACAACAAGTAAACTTTGTTTATGAGTTTTGTGCAGGAACAGACGACCAGCTCAGTGGTGACTAAGAGCCACGAGAGTCCAGAGATACCTGAGATCAAGTCTCCAAGACTTGAGAGTTTATTTTCTTTTTATTTCATTTAAGTTGAACTTTCCTTATTTGTGTCCAAATGAGACAACTCGCTGTTTACTTGTTTTCTTTGCCGTTTCCTTTTGTTTCTTTTGCAAGTCCTGTGGTTTTTGAGTCTTTTCTTTTCATTTGAGTCGAACCCTAGAAGGTTCAAGCTGATGGACTGTTTATAAAGTTCCCTTACAGCTTTGTAGTTCGATACATTTTTGCTTATTAATAAAATAACACCGTTTTCTTTGAAGCTTTTGCTTGAGAGATTTGCTTGCCTTTGTGTGTGTGTGATTCCACTCAAAGGTTAGTGTTTGCTGTATCAGAGAGCCCTCCATCCTCTCTGTGGTGCCATCGATCCACCCTCACTTCCCCTGATACGATCCAACAAGAGAGAGCGAAGGCCAGCTTGTTAGATTTCCATCGGTTCATTGTGTGACTCTACCCCAAGGCATACATCAGTTGCTTTATTCCTACAAGGAGTTTCTTAAAAGAAAACCCTAGTGCAACTTTTCAGTCATCAGATGTTTCGCAAAAGCATTAAATCGGTGGTAAGTCACGATTTGATTCTCCATACAGCTCCTTATGCATTTTCCCACAGCTTCCTATGCTTTTCTCTGTTTGTTGAACTTTCCTCAAACTTCAACTTCCACTCCAAAATAGTGATCAAAAGTCAGATGGAGAATACATGTCAATTAGATTAAGTTATAAAAGAAGCAATGGTTTCTTAAGAGGAATTTTTGTTGAAGAGTTTCTTGAGCTGTTTTGTGAATCTTAATGATGTTTCACAAACTGACAAAGTATCAAGCTGAAGATTTGTTAAACTTATTATGAGGAGATACTAATTTACTTTGTTTACATTATGGATTTACCATTATTGTAACAAATGCAAACAAATTTTTACTCGCATTAGGAGAAAATGATTCTATCTAATGAGATAAGCAAAAAGGAAGAAAGACTATAAGCATTTCTAATTAGCAACAGCAGAAGCCATGGCTAAGCTATACTTATGCTTGAGGTAAGCTTTGATGAAAGGGTCCAAGTCACCATCCATTACAGATGTGATATCAGAAGTCTCATGACTTGTTCGGACATCCTTAACCAGTTTGTACGGATGAAACACGTAGTTCCTGATCTGCTGTCCCCACTCAGCTTTCACTACATCTCCTCTTATCTCCTTGATCTCAGTCGCACGTTGCTCCTCCGCGATCACCAACAGTTTTGCTTTTAGTCGGCTCAGTCCTCTCGTCTTGTTCGCCGATTGACTTCTCTCCTCTGCAAATGTTTCACATTTAGTATCTTCAAAAGTAGAATCAACATGCAGAGAGCGATTGATCATGCATTGGAACATGCAGACAAACCTGAGCAACGGACTGCAACACCAGTAGGGATGTGAGTAATCCGAACAGCGGTCTCGACCTTGTTGACATTCTGTCCTCCTTTTCCACCTGCCCTCGTGAAAGTAATCTCAAGGTCCTCCTCTGGTATTTCAACTCCTACTGCTTCCTCAGGCAGGAGCGGCATCACTTCCACACCAGAAAAGCTTGTCTGCGTTGAAATATAAATACAAGTATATAGCACACAACTATACCATATGCCTTTTAGAGTTCATAAACCTTTAACCCAATTACCTCAAGGCTTAATAAACAATAACACTAATCAATGCAAAGATAAAACCTAGATGGAAATAGTAAGATACCAAGCTGCTATTAGCATAGATCTCAACACAAGGTTAGGAAATTTCATTAATTTTATAGCACACAACTACACAAATGCTTTTGGAGTTTATAAACCTTAATTCTCAGCATTAGTGAGCGAAGAGGCCAATTCCCTCAAGGCTTAGTAAACAATAAAACTTGTAAATGCAAAAGTATTTACTACATGGAGATAGTAAGATGCTATTAGCATAGATATGGACACAAGGTTATGAAATTTCATCAAATGTTGCATGTCAAAACTTTTTAGTAGGAAATTTCGGTACAGAGCAGCTTGATTTACCTGGCGAAGGCCTTTGGAATTGAACGGTGATTGTCTAACAATCCTATGAGTTCCTTTCTCCCCTGAAAGGTAACCATATGCATAACGCCCTTCGATTTCAAGTGTCGCTGACTTGATCCCTGCTTCTTCTCCAGCCGACATTTCAACAACATTCGTCTTGTACCGTTGCTTCTCTCCCCATCTCATATACATCCTAAGGAGCATATCGGCCCAATCCTGCACTGGAAGTTATCGGCAGGAGCTCAATTAACACCGCAAAAACGTAGAGAGCCTCTAGGAAAATCTCATATACCAATGCATAAAACATGAAATGAGAGATAATAAATACTGCGTTTTCATGACCTTGTATACAAAATGAAATGCATTTTTGGTACTAAGTCTCTTCTCGTGAAAGAATACACGAAACCAGACATAACTTGAGCACACAAACACTCATGATCCTTTCTTAGATATTAAGAAAATTTCATATACCAAGGCATAAAACAAGAAATGAAAGATAATATCACACAGCAACGACCTTGTATACAAAATGAAATGCATTCTTGGTACTAGTTCTCTTCCTCGTAAGAAATTCAAGAAACCCGACATAACTTAAGCAAACAAACACTCCATGATCATTTCTTACATATGAACTCAGTCTATTAGGCTTATAAACTCATGAAAGGTGCCTCCAAGAACATATTTGAATTCATCAAGAGCTCTACAAAGAACAAAAAAGCCGAATTGCGTAAACAGTAATTTACCTGAGCATCTGTTCCTCCGGCTCCAGCTGTAATATACACTACTGCGCCTTCTTGGTCATAAGGTCCTGATAGAAGCTGCGTTAGCTCGAATCGATCTAGAGATTTATTCAACTCTTTGATGATTCCCATTGCCTCTTCAAGTAAGCTAACATCAGTAGAGTCCATCTCTTCAGTTAGTTTAACAATTGTTTCCGCATCTTCAACCTATCTCCAGCAGAGCAAACACATTATATAGAGACCATAATCTAAGGGAAAATGCAATTCAAGAAGTGATTGATTTGTACCATGGACTTGAACTCAGAAAGCAACCGTGACCGATCTTTGAGATCGTTCAAAGCGGAGAGAGTTTCTTGAGCTTTAGCACGATCATCCCAAAATGAGGTATCAGTAGCTTTTGACTCCAAAATTGATATTTCATTTTCTATTTGCTGTAAACCAGAAGAAGCTCTAATCTCTTCAACACGAGCTGATGCTACTTCAACATCTTTCCTCAATGTATAAAAATCTATCAAACAATAAGAAATCAACCTCATCAATCATCTTACAATATGAAACAAAAGAAGAAATCAAAACCCAACAACTGTAAATTGAGAAATTTCAAGACCCAAAAATTTCATATTGTTGGGGAATCGAACAATTTGAAGACCCAAGTAATCGAAATTTACTGTAAATTGAGCAATTTCAAGACCAGAAACGCCAAAGAAGGTACCTTGCATCTGCCACTCAATCGTATCACTTTCATTTGAGACACTTAGGTTACTCTCCTGTGCAGCGAATAACACTGAAATCCCAAAACACAAAATCAGGAAAATTATAAACCCGATGACCGAAAATTTGAAATTGTTGAGAGAGAGAGAGAGGAGGAACTGACAGGGAGAAATGAGACGACGGGTCGAAGAAGAGAGATGGGGAAGTGAAAGCGGAAGCGAGAGACGAAGTAGAGGGAGAGTTTTTGGTCGGAGAAGCGGAAGCGTAGGTTTTCCGGCGATGGCGATTGGTCGGAGAACACTGACCTCCATAGCTTTCTCTGCAAATTTTTCTGGCCTCTTTTTGGCCTTTTTACGAGTTATTATCCACACCACCAAGCCAGCCGCCACGTCATCAGTTTAAATAAATATATTATTTCTATAACAAAATAAAACACCTATTCTATTAAAACAGAAGCACTAAATTTGGATCTAAATATTCCTAAATTTTTTTTATAATATTTTATTTTATTTTATATTTAATTTCTAAAAATTAGTTATTAATTTAAATATTTTTAGATTTCCTAAAATCTAGATCATTTTTAATTTAAATTTCAAATTATTAAAAATTTAATTAAATTTAGTTACAAAAATTTACATTCAATTTAATTTAAATTCAAAAAATTCAAAAAAAAATTATAATTAAATTTTATTACGAAAATTTAGATAATAATTTTAGTACTCTTAAAAAATTCTTAAATACATGAGAGATTTAATTTAAAATTTCAAATTTAAATAATATTTTTATAAAAATACATAGTAAATAAATATTTTATCGTATTTTATCATAATCAATTGGTCTAAAATATCAAATATTTGAGATTAATAAATATTTATATTATACAATAATATAATCGAGCTGATTAGAGTTATATATATATATTTAAGATCCATGAGTTAATTTATTAAAACATGTAAGATATTAAGATGATTTGAGACAATTAAACTAACAGGGTTAGCCAGTTTATATATATATATATATATATATATATTTTTAATAGCACAAATAATAAATAAATATCTTATTATATTTTTTCATAATCAATTGGTCCAAATATTCCATATTAGTAAATATTTATAGGGTTATACAATTATAATTATAGTCTTATACAGGTTAGTTTGTCAAAACATATAAGATATTAAAAATGATTTAAGATAACTAAATGGATGGATTAGCAAATTCATAGATATATAGATTTTTTATGTGTAAATCTAAATTCACATGATAACAAAGTTTATAATTAACATTAGATCAATGTATACTTAATTAACGCACACTCTTATTCTACTAATATATAAATTTTACTGTTTAAAATTAAAATATGATAACAAATTTTTGATTTAAAAAAATAAATAACAAAAACAAATTATATCTAAACAAAAAAGATAAATGCAACTTATATTAGAAATAAAAATAAAACATTCTCGTGCGGACGCACGGGGTTAAAATCTAGTTTTTTTGATAAAACAGAATGAACAAAAATTCCCTCATTCATTATTCTCCACTAACATTGGATACTATAATATGTTCTAGTTTGTTTGTTTGTTTTTGTGTATTTTTTTGTGTTCAATTTCTTTTTTATTAAAATTTAACTAGGCAAAAATTGACAATTTTAGTTTTATAAACTTTTAGTATGTCTTTTTTTTTGAAACGTCTAAACTTTTTAGTTAGTCATAAAAATTGTTTTTGTCTACACACAGTTATTTGAAATGTGATATAGAGATAGCAACAACTCAATCGGATAGACTTATTTTTGAGGATTTATTTTGCCTACCGAATATGAGTTTAATATTGAGGAGTAAATAATTCTCGAAGATGATTGAAACAGCCGCTTTATGTTATAAATGGTGCATTCAGGGAGGTGTACAACGAGATATGATCCAATAATATCGAGTGAGAGAAGTATCTTGAAAACATTGGAACATAACATTGGTTGCAAGAATATCTTTGTTGGGATATTGATGGAAAATCAGTATTCGGTTCAGCTTAAATCAAAGACTGGTTATGTTATGTGGGTGACTTGCTTTTAGGTAGTTCGGTTGGTTTACGGTTTATACCGGCTTCAATATGTAGTAGACGTTATACATATATAGTGTGTGTAAGTCTTGTCTCTCTTGAGCTTTTGTGACCGTTGTAACGAGCTAGAGAGAGAGAGAGAGAGAGAGAGAGGAGTCTGTAATCGAGAAGAAGAAGATAGTGGATTACTGGAAAAGCTCCAGGCCGAGACGAAGGATTCACATTCCGAGATCTGAACTCGTAAAATTTTTCTGTGTGCTTGTTCTTAATTCTGTTTTTCTTCTTCGCTTTCATTGAGAGATGTGCGTGTGAGAGATTCGTATAATCGGAGATACTTTATCTTGTTCCAACAATCGATCAAGCTAGAAGATCAGGATTAAAGCGCTACAAGTGGTATCAGAGCCTAGGTTCGGCGAAGAATCAATGGCGACGAATCCTAATATCGAAATCGCCTGTTTCGATGGTCAAGGGAATTTCTCAATGTGGAAGAAAAGAATGTTCGCGCATCTCTCAATCCTTGGGTTAAAGGAATTTCTTGTCGATTCTGGAATCAAGATTGAGAAAAAGAAAGATGAAAACGATGCTGCGTTTGCATAAAAAACGTTGAAAGAGGAAGTTGAGCGGCTCGAGAAGTCCAAAAAAACAATGAACATCCTAATTCTCAATCTCGGAGATCATGTTCTACGGAAGTTAGATGATTGTGATTCTGTAGCAAAGATCTGGACAGCCTTGGAAAGGTTATACAATTCCCAGTCTCTACCTAACAGAATCCATCTTCAACATAAGTTCTATACATTTAAGATGATGGATTCGAAGTCTATTGATCAGAATATAGACGATTTCTTGAAACTAGTATCTGGGTTGAGTAGCGTAAAAGTTTCTGTGTCTGAAGAAGTTCAGGCTATTCTCCTTTTGAATTCACTACCACATCAATATAATTCCTTAAAGGAAACTCTCAAATATGGTAGAGATATTATCACCATTGAACATGTGGTTAGTGCGGCGAAATTAAAAGAGATTGAGCTCAGGGAATCGGATCAAACTAATTCTCAAAAGAGTGGAGAGGCTTATGTTGCTCGGGGAAGACCTGAAAAGAAAGAATCTGGGAATAAGAAAGGTAGAGATAGGTCCAGGTCAAAGTCAGGAACAAGATTGACCTGCTGGTATTGCAAGAAGGAAGGTCATAATAAAAAGGACTGTTTTGCTCGGAAGAGGAAGCAAGAAAATGATGAAGATGCAGAGGCTGCAGTTGTAATTGAGAAGGTGGAGGATATAGATGAACTGTCAGCTTCTGATAAATGGCATCAGGAGAATTGGGTAATTGACTCAGGTTGTTCATACCACATGACCTCACGAAGAGTCTGGTTCCACACGTTTCAGGAGCTTAACATAGGACAAGTGTTGCTCGGTGATTGAAGGAATTGGCTCCATCAACATCAAAGCCTATGGTGGAACAGTTAAAGTGCTATCAAATGTGAGGTACATTCCCAAACTCAAAAGGAATTTAATCTCTACTGGAACATTGGATAGATTAGGTTTCGAACATTCCTGAGGACATGGTAGAACTAGGTTCTATAAGAATGGCAAGTTAGCCCTTCAGGGGTCTTTAGTTGGAACCTTGTATTTGTTGGATGGCGAGACTGTAACAGGTGAAACTCACAGCAGTGTTGAGAAGAAACTGTCTAAAGATGAGACGATACTGTGGCATCGTAGACTCGGACATATGAGTCTTAAGAATATGAAGATTCTGACTAAGAAAAGGATGATTGATAAGAGGAGTATAGGTGATCTTATCTTCTGTGAAAGTTGTGTGATGGGGAAGCACAAGAAATTGAGTTTTCACATTGGAAAACATGACACTGGAGAGGCTTTGAAGTACGTACATGCTGACCTATGGGGCTCTCAAAATATCACTCCAAGTCTGTCAAAGAAGCAGTACTTCTTATCAATAATCGATGACTATACGAGAAAGGTCTGGGTTTTCTTCCTGTCTACAAAGAGTGAGGCCTTCAACAAGTTTACTGAATGGAAGAAGTTGGTGGAGAACCAAGTAAACAAAAAGGTTAAATGCTTGAGAACAGACAATGGACTCAAGTTCTGCAACTCGGAGTTTATACTTTCTGCAGGAATCATGGAATAGAAAGGCATAGGACATGCACTTATACGCCTCAGCAGAACGGCGTGGCAGAAAGAATGAATAGAACCATAATGGAAAAGGTTCGATGTCTTTTAGATGAGTCAGGTCTAAGAGAGGCATTTTGGGCTGAAGCTGTCTCAACAGCTATGTATTTGATTAATAGGAGTCCATCGTCTGCAATTGATGGTAACATTCCCGAGGAGATGTGGTTGCAGAAGAAGCCGGGGTACAAGCACCTTAGGAGATTTGGTTCAATTGTGTATGTTCACACTGATCAGGGCAAGTTAAAGCCAAGAGCTTTAAAGGCATATTCTTGGGCTATCCAACAGGAGTAAAAGGATATAAGGTCTGGATGCTTGAAGATGAGAAGTGTGTCATCAGTCGAAATGTGCTGTTTGTTGAAGACAAGGTGTATAAGGATCTAAAAGAGGATAGCTCTACTCATGATATCACTGATGAAAAGGTTCAAGGAGGATCAAAAATATTTCTTGAAACCAATATTATTCCAAGCCCTGATGAAAGAGATGGAAATGAAGGTGGAGACGCTGATTCAGTTGTGGAGTATGTATCTGATTCAAGTTCAGAACATGATGAAGATCCTGGGAGTTATCAGTTGGCAAGAGATAGGCCTAGGAGAGAAGTGACTTCACCTTCCAGGTATAATGACTTCGAGATGGCTGCCTTTGCTCTGTTAGTTTCTGAAGATATTATTGTGGAAGATCCGAAGGATTACAAAGAGGCAATGAATAACAAGCAGAGTGAGTTCTGGGAAGGTGCTATGGACGAAGAAATGAACTCACTTAAGGTAAACCGCACCTGGGATTTAGCTAAAAGACCCGATAAACAGAAGGTGATTGGCTGTAAATGGGTATATAGGTTGAAACCTGAAATACCTGGAGTTGAAAAGGCTAGATTCAAGGCAAGGTTAGTGGCCAAGGGATATTCACAGTGTGAGGGTATTGACTATAACAAGGTGTTCTCTCAAGTGGTAAAGCATGTGTCTACGCTTACTTTTGGCTATCACAGTGGAGTTGGACTTAGAGCTACAGCAACTTGACGTTAAGACAGCTTTTCTTCACAGCTCAATTGATGAGGAGATATATATGGAACAGCCTGAAGGTTACAAAGTAAAGGGTAAGGAGAAGGTGGTTTGTAGACTCAGAAAATCTCTTTATGGCCTAAAACAGGCGCCAAGGCAGTGGAATATATGTTTTGATCAGTTTATTGTCAGTCACGGGTTCAAGAAAAGTGAGTTTGATCACTGTGTTTACCTAAAGGAGGTGGAGAAAAATGTTTTTGTCTATCTACTATTATATGTAGACGACTTGTTAGTGGCTGCAAAGGACATGGAAGAGGTTATTAAAGTGAAGGAGCTGTTAAGTAAAAGGTTTGAAATGAGGGATTTGGGTGCAGCTAAGAGGATTCTGGGTATGGATATTGAGAGGGACCGCAAGAAGGGAGTTTTAACTCTGTCACAGACAGGCTATATCAAAAAGGTTCTGCAGGTATTCAACATGGGTGAGTCAAAGTCTGTAGCTACTCCAATCGGATCACATTTCAAGCTTTCTGCGATCAATGACAAAGAAGAAAAGACAGCCATGGATGATATCCCGTATGCAAATGCCATAGGAAGCACAAGGTGTGATTTAGCTTATGCCGTGGAACTTGTAAGCAGATATATGAGTAAGCCGGGAATGGTTCATTAGTCTGCAGTCAAGTGGATATTAAGGTATTTGAATGGTTCACAGGACTTGAAGTTGGTTTTCAGGAAAAGTGAAGATTTTAAGATAGAGGGATTCTGTGATTCCGATTTTGCTTCAGATTTAGATAGAAGGAGGTTTATCACTGGTTATGTTTTTACAGCTGGAGGGAGTACAATAAGCTGGAAGTCTCAGTTACAGCATGTGGTAGCTCTCTCAACGACCGTGGCTGAGTATATGGCTTTAGTGGAAGCTATTAAAGAAAGCATTTGGCTCAAGGGAATTGCAGAGGAACTTGGGTTCAAACAAGAGTCTGTGGAGATTAACTGTGACTCACAAAGTGCTCTATGCTTGGAAAAGAATAATGTCCATCATGAGAGGACTAAGCATATCAGTAGAAAGCTGTATTTTATCCGAGACATAGTTGCACAAGGAGAAGTAAAATTGCAGAAGATTTCTACATCAAAGAATCCTGCGGATATACTAACAAAGGTGGTTCCTGTGAACAAGTTTAGGAGGCTCTGAGTTTCCTCAGGATAACCAGACACTAAAAGGTTAGTGTCGCCTGGAGCTGCACATGTTTGCATAGTTTGAAGGAGCTGTGAAACTGATTGTCATCAAGGTGGAGTTTGTTGGGATATTGATGGAAAATCAGTATTCGGTTCAGTTTAAATCAAAGAATGGTTATGTCATGTGGGTTACTTGGTTTTAGGTAGCTCGGTTGGTTTACGGTTTATACCGGCTTCAATATGTAATAGACGTTATACATATATTACGCGTGTGTGTAAGTCTTCTCTCTCTTGAGCTTTTGTGACCGTTGTAACAAGCTAGAGAGAGAGAGAGACGAGTCTGTAATCGAGAAGAAGAAGAAGATAGTGGATTACTGGAAAAGCTCCAGGCCAAGACGTAAGATTCTCATTTCCAAGATCCGAACTCGTAAAATTTCTCTGTGTGCTCTGTTCTTAATTCTGTTTCTCTTCTTCGTCTTCGTTGAGAGATGTGCGTGGGAGAGATTCATATAATCGGAGATACTTTATCTTGTTCCAACAATCGATCAAGCTAAAAGATCAGGTTTAAAGCGCTACAATCTTCCAAAGAAACATTGAATTGTTATACTTCAGAAAATCCATGATGATTAGGTGGTTTTTTGTTAGGAGGAAAAACTCGACAACCCATAAATGACTAATTACTCAGAGATAGACAAAGAGATGACTTTCAATCTAAAAAATATCAGAGAGAGAACAAGATCAATATTATATCGAGCTACAACTGTCAAATCATTGGCAAATTTGGGGATAAACATAACTCGTTGTTAGGTGAAAATATGTGTATATGTATGATGTTTAAGAAAGTAAGAATCCTTGTGACATGCCCTTCTGGTTGCACATTATTTGGATCTTTTATGGAACACATTAATCGGTTATAAAATATCAACATGAATGAAAAAATTGTAATAACTGCCTATACTTTAGTTTTAATAAAAAAGAACCCTCAATTTATGAACACCATAAAGAATAAAATACTTTTCTTTAGACTACCATAATAACCCATATTACTAATGTGAGATAGAATCATGGAAGGATGGTGATCTTATTTTCTCTTTCCACTTTTTCACTATTTAACTAGCTGCATAAATTGCAATTTTGTTTTCTATTCCAAATTTTCATTTCATCTTATTTATCCAGAGAGAGATCCTAAAGATGTTGACATACTAGAGGAAATTAGCAGTTTTGTCTTTTTTATGTCATCTCACACATGAAGCAATCTAGACGTCCTAAAATAGTTAGGATACCATCAACAAGAAAAGTACCGGTAAGTTGAAAAGAATAACTGTTATAATTCATCAAAATTGTGAATTTTAAATTTGTAAGTAGCAAAGGTAAAAGGTTGGTACCAAACAAATGTACTTGTTGTAAAAAAGAATGACATAATGAGACAATATACACTAACCCAATCTGAGTTAATTTGTGTTTGTTAAATATGTTTAGTATGGTAAAACAATCACATTGTTTGTTAAATATGTTTAATATGGTAAAACAATCACATTTTGGAAGAGATTAAGGTTTTTAGGTGTAATTGTTATTGTGGTTGTTGATCCTGGAGATCACTAAGTATGTTTAACAGATGATGAGAATGATTAGAGATGATTTCGGGGCAAGATTTTCGTATAATAAGAGTGATTCAGTTCGGGGAGGAAGAGAAAGTGTCAGCTCGGAGCCGTGAGTAGAGTTTGTAAAGAGAGAATAGTTAGCGTTTCGAACTAAGTCTGGAAAGAGTCCAGTTCGGTGCTTTTAATATTGTTACAGCGAGTTCGGTAAAGAGACAAGTGTATTAAAGTAGAGAGAGAGAGTAATAAATTTCAGATCCGCTCATAAATAATCTATGAGGAGTATTTATAGCGGAAGTTGGGAGACGAGTTTCCTCCAAATCGGGACGACGTGGCAGCTTTGGCGCATCTCGCGGGTATGGCGTCTCGAGCCGCGCGTCCGAACCACTCCGCAGCGAGTGATGATGGTCCTTCGCCGAGCTACTTGCGCAGAAAGGTTACTGTAGACGACCTGCTTACTACACGTGTCGCATCCTGCTCGGTTCCGGGTACTGTAGATCGGCGCAGTGATGATGACGATTTAGGTGGAGTCATGCTGACTGGATTGTTGACTTTTGGCTGGGCTTTATTGTCTTACTATGGGCTTTATTATTGAGGATGGGCCTAGCTAATTGGGGGTGCTAAGCCCACCTCCAACAATAGCCCCCCCCCCAGTTCTGTGTATGAGAGGTTGTTGAATGCGCCGAATTCGTGGTGTCGATTAGCTCGGCCCATCGCAGGTCGGTAGTATGTGGGTTTTAGGGCGAACTTCCTCGCGCTCTAGTATAGGCGGGAAACAGATCAAGATCTCCCGCGGAAAACCTAGGAACCTCCGCACATGACCAGCACGCGGAGACATGAAAGGACGTTTGTTGCTGCTTTTTATTTCTGTGCGTCTCGAGGACGGTACCGAAGCGGCGTCATCATTAGGTTTGCTAGGTGTCGATCACTCTCCTCTTGATTGGTTATTTTTCCTTTCTTCTTTTATTTAAATGCTCTTCTCCTTCCTTCCTCTTACTTTTGCTTTCGCGTAGGAAACAGAAACGGAAAAAGAACTTCTCCTCTTTGCTCCTTCGATTCTATTCCCCTTCTCTTTTTCTTTTCCGATTTTGATTTTTAGCGTTTTGTGATGGCGGATATCTTCGATACGATTTCGGCTGAGTCTCAGACCGAATCTGGCTCCCGAGAGGAGTGCGGCGAGATGCTCCCGGAAAGTTCTTCGCCGGCGACCAGTTCGGAGCGCACGGGTTCTCCTCATTGTGACGAAGAAGACGTAGGGGGGGGGGATCTTCCGCTGATCGACCGGGCCAAAAGGAAAGCGCCTCAGACCAGGGGTTCGAGAGGCGGCGGACACCGTAGGGGTGAGTGCGGCGGTCAGGCCGGAGGTGGCGAAAAAAATCCGCGACCCCGGAGGTCTAAAGCTCTGAAGCCTCCTCGAGTTTCTTATGCGGATGGGGGATCGGGAACCTGGAGCAATTCGAAATCCATCTCGGCGATGATTTCTGGGTGCGGGTTTCCGTCTGATGTCGAGGTCCGAATTCCCGCTGAGGATGATCGCCCCTGGCGTCCTCCGAGTGGGTTTGTATGCCTGTGCGAGGCTTATTTTACGAGATGCAGGCTGCGCTTCCCCCTTCCCGATTTGTTTGTCTCGTATTGTCATCGGCGGGACTTGGCGTTTTCGCAGATATGCCCGACGACCGTGCAGAACATGGTCGTGTTGTTGACTTTTGGGTCGGAGAGCGGTGTTGACGTGTCGCTTGATCTTTTCAAAGATCTTACCAATCACAAGAGTAATCCCGCTATACCGGGCTCATATTATGCTTCCTCCAAGGTGGGGTTGGACATGACGTCTGACAAGCCGAGCAAGGTTGGCGAATGGGATCGCAGCTACTTTTATGTGCGGGCTAACGAAACGGCCGGTCTCGTTCCAGGTCGGAGCTATCGAACTGATTGGAATTTTTCTCCTGGTAAGGTCCCTTCATATTTGTTTGGCTTGGCGACTTTTTGACTTTTATGACATGAGTTTTTTTTGTAGTGTCGCACCGAGATGGACCCAGAATAGGTGACTATGAACCGCTCCTCGTTAAGCTTAGGTCGGTCCCGAGGCGTAAGTGGGCGGATTATTTTTTGGTTTGTTTAGCTGGTTATTACGGTGTTGTGGGGTTGACGCGTTATTCTCAGTTCGCTCCCGTTTCACAATTCCTTCGTACGCGGCTACGCTTATTCTCATGCCGACCGTCCCGAATTGTGGTGCTTCTGTCGATGAGGAGGCGGAGAACGTTCCCGCACTGAGGAGGAGGATGGCTTCTGAGAGGGAAAGGGAAGATGGTGTCGCTTCGGACGCGGCATCTAAAAGATGGAGGACGGGGGAGGTGGAAGGCGCGACGTCCGAGCCAGGGCCGATGCAGTCTGGTGAACGGGAAAGCGGGGTCCCTGAATCTCAGGGGGCTGATCTTCCAGTGGGTAGAGGGGATCAGGGCGTCGAGGGAACCGTGGCGGCCGATCTCGCGGCGGAAGATCGGGAGGGCGGTGGCGACGGTACTCAGGTAGATGATCTGCCTGAGGGCCAAGGAGGTCGGGACGATGTTGGTCCCGAGGGCGGGGATGCTGAGATGGACGGGGACGACCTGCCTGGTGGGGGTAATAGTGAGATCGTTTCTCAACACCATGAGGGTGGGGAGGGCGAAGGTCAGAGGGACGAAGAAGAGACCGGAGCGCGGGCACCGGGGATGCCTACCAATGAACCGGGTCTGCAGGAGGATCACCGCTTCGATTTTAGCTATCGCGAAGCAGGCCGGAGCATTCACTGTGATAAACGTCAGTGCTCCAATCTTATCTATGCGGCGTCGCATGGGAGGCAGGAACCCTATCGCTCCGTTGAGGACTTGGCTGTAACCGCGAACTTCCAGATAGCTTCGTGGGATTTGATTCGGGTAAGTTCGAGAGCTCGCAATTGTATTGGTTGTGTTGTTCCAGATGACTGAATATATATTCTGTGCAGGCCGGGGCGTGTCTGACCGCCATATGCGAAGGCTATGAGAAGCGGCTCGACGATGCTCAAGAAGAGATCGGCAGGTCGACAGACCGAGTGGTGGCTCTCGAGCAAGAGCAGATCCTGGCGGGGGAGAAGATTCAGTGGCTAGAGCGACAATTGGCGGAAGAACGAGCGCACTCTGCCGCACTAAGGGAGGCCTCGGCTGAGGTGGGGAGGCTCTGAGCCGAACTGGAGCAGGAAAGGGCGAAATCGAGGGGTTGGAGGAGCAGACCTCTATCGCGTCCGAGGTGGCGAGGGTGGCGACCGTCGAACGGGATACGCTGCAGTCCAATCTCGATGCGGAGAGGGTGAAGTCCGCCGATCTTGAGGCGCGAGTGGCCAGCTTGTCGGATGTGATTAGGATACTCTTTTCGAAGCGGGAACATCATAAGGCTGAGTCCATGCGGGTATCGGATATGTACCTCCGGTTGCATGAGAAGGTCAAGGCTGCCGAGGACCATCTCGCCAGGGAGAACGCACGTATCGCGACTGCGCAAGCGGAGAGGAAGCAGAGGTGGCAAGCGAAGATGGTCAGAATCCGAGCTCATTTGGCTGGTCGGGAGTAGGAGACGCTGGTCCACCTTGTTCAGAGTCAGGTGGTGGGGACGCACGAGTGTCTCATGAGGTTGAAAGACGCATATGGCTTGACGCCTCCTCCGGAAGTCTTAGAGAAGCTGAAGAGCGATGAGGCCGACTACAGAGGCCAGCTCGAGAAGATCGACTATCCCGATCTGACTCCGGACGACCTCTGTCTCCCAAGCGATGCCCTGAAACTGCTCTGCTCGTATATGTGGTAGAGAGGACCGGGACCGGTCAGGCGTCAGTGGCCTCCGTGGCTGCGCCGAGTTCGTCTTCGGTGCCTGGCCAAGGCGTGGTGCCTCCCGTGCCGGACTCCTCGAACCCTGATCCGTCCTCAGGAGGGAGAGGTGGAGCGGCGGAAATGACCCAGCCCTTTCGCGGTCAATTCGGGACGAACGCGCAGATGTTGAGCCCAGAGGATGCTAGGGACCTGCGTTGATGAAGCTTGAGTTCTCTTTCCCCCCCCTCTTTTTTTTTTTTTTTTGGGTTGTAGGCCGAAGTGCCAAGATTCCGATGTAGGCCTTGTGCCGTTTGTACATATTTAGAAATTCAAAGGAAAATTTCATTTCTGTACAATGCGAGATTGAGTTCGGCTTATATGTCAGAAATTGTATTATGAGTGCGAGTAGCTAGCTCGGCTAAAAACACTTATAGGTTGTGTGTTGCGCGATGCAGATCGGAATCTGGCTAAAGACACTTAACAGTTTGTGTGTCGATAGATGCGAGTCGGAACTCGGTTGAAATACTTATTGGTTTGTGTGTTTAGGGAGGCGAGTAAGGACTCGGCTATATTTGAGCTCGGAAGCCGAATTTAGAGAAATATATTTTTTTAATAATAATAGTTGTGCCCGGGTTGGGCTGCCTACGTACCCTTCCGAAGAAGGGATCAAGCCAGTCGTAGTTCGGTTATTTTTACATTGGTAGGTTTGGATTTTCGAGGTCGGGAGCTGAGTGGCGCGATCTGCCTAGTAGTAGAATCGCTTGAGAATGGCCGCGTTCCATGAGCGCGGGATTGCGTCGCCTGCCATAGTAACGAGCTCGTACACACCGGGTTTGACGATTTTTGCGATGAGGAAGGGGCCTTCTCAGCTGGCTCCGAGCTTGCCCGCGTTGATCCGCCGTGTTTTCGAACACTTTTCGCAAAACCAGGTCACCTTCTGTGAAGAATCTGCCTTTGACCTTTTTGTTGTAATACTTGGAGGTGAGCTTCTGGTAATTCTGCATGCGAAGCAGAGATCGGGGTCTTGTTGTGAGCATCGAGCGGCGATTGTGGGGAGTCCGACCTCCGAGGGGGCCATTGCTTCCATGCCGTGCGACAGACTGAAGGGAGTTCGTCCTGTTGTGCGCCGAGGTGTAGTTCGATGAGACCACAGGACTCCATCGAGCTCGTCTGCCCAGAGACCCTTTTTTTCGTCTAGTCGTTTTTTGAGGCCGTCCAAGATTGTTTTGTTTGTTGCTTCGGCCTGCCCGTTTCCTTGTGGGTACCTCGGGGTAGACTTGCTCAGCCTGATCTTCCATTTTTCACAGAATTCTTCGAAAATGATCGACGTAAACTGGGCGCTGTTATCCGTAACGATCTCGTAGGGTAGACCGTGGCGACAGATGATAAATTTCCATACGAACTTGCGGACGTCCTCGGCGGTGATCTGGGCGTAGGATTCAGCTTCGACCCATTTGGTGAAGTAGTCCGTCATGACGAGGAGGAAATGCTTTTGGCGGGATCTTGGCAGCGGTCCCACGATGTCCATGGCCCAACGCATGAATGGGTAGGGCGGTGATGCCGTGGTGAGTAGCTCGGTGGGCGAATGGATCATGGGACCGTGACGTTGGCATTTCTCGCACCGGGCTGCAAACTTGTTGCAGTCCTCGATCATTGTTGGCCAGTAATGTCCTTGGTTACGGATCCGGAGTGCGAGAGTTCGGCCGGTACAGTGGCTTCCTCCAGCGCCTTCGTGCATCTCCTTCATGACGTCGATTGTTTCGTCTCCGTGGAGACAGCTGAGCAGGGCGCCAGTTTCGCTCCACCGAAATAAGTTTCCGTCGGTCTGGAAATACTTGGCGGCTTTCTTCTTTAATCTCCGAGCCGCCCAGCGGTCGTCAGGGACCGTCCCGCTGATGATATATGACAGGATGTCAGCTCGCCAATCTGGTTTAACGGGCTCGGGCGGGGGAGGTGGCAGGTTCTCACCGTCCTGGGCATCCTGCTCTTCGATTGGGTCATCGGCGAGGAAATCGTTGATGAGGCAGATCCCCTTCGGGAGCTCTATGCTGGGGGAATCGATGCTCTCAACGAGGATTACTCGGCGCTGAGTCGGGTCCGAGGTGGAGGCCAGAGCGGCTAGGGCGTTTACAGAATCTTGGTGAGATGAAATTAGGAGAACTCGGAGGCCAGGTCTTGGACAACCTTTAGATAGGCTTCCATGCGGTCGTTCTTGGCTTTATACTCGCCACTGAATTGGTTTGCGACGAGCTGGGAGTCGCAATATGCTTGGATCTTCCTGACCCCGATCTCCTTTGCCAGTCGCAAGCCGGCTATCAGGGCCTCGTACTCTGCCTCGTGATTCGATGCCTGGAATGCTAACCGGAATGACTGTTCTAGTACCTCGTGGGTCGGTGATTTCAAGCGGATGCCGACGCCAGAGCCATGCTTTGAGGCCGAACCGTCGACATGAAGGCTCCATTTCTCATCGGGCGCTTCGCCGGTTAATTCGGGAGCGAGTTCGACGAGGAAGTCTACCAATACTTGGGACTTCGCAGCGGTCCGCCCTCGATAGTCGATGTCGTATTCGCTGAGTTCTACCGCCCACTTCGCCATCCTTCCCGACTGGCTCGGGCTGTGAAGGATTGTCCGCAGAGGGTGTGTAGTTAGGACGGCGACAGTGTGAGATTGGAAGTAGGGGCGGAGCTTCCGGGCTGCTGTTATGACGGCTAACGCCAGTTTCTCCATGGTCGGGTACCTGCTCTCGGCTCCATCCAGGGATTTAGAGACGCAGAAAACCGGCTTTTGCTCTCCTCGGTCTTCTCGAACAAGGACACCGCTTACACCCGACGTGGACACGGCGATGTATAGATACAAGGTTTCTCCATCTTCGGGCTTGGCTAGGACGGGCGGAGTCGAGAGATATTCCTTTAGTTGCTGAAACGCCAGCTCGCACTTGTCGTCCCATTCAAACTTTTTGTTTCCTCGGAGCAGTTGATAAAAGGGCAAACATTTATCAGTGGAACGCGAGATAAATCGGTTGAGGGCGGCAATTCTTCCGGTGAGGCGCTGGACTTTGCGAGTGTTCTTTGGTGACTGCAATTCAAGGACGGCCTGGATTTGCTTCGGGTTAGCCTCTATCCCACGCTGAGTGACTACATAGCCGAGAAATTCTCCCGAGGTGATGCCAAAGGTGCACTTCCCGGGGTTGAGCTTCATGCCGTACTCGTTCAGAGTTTTGAAGCACCTTTTTAGGTGACCAACGTGATCGTCTGCCACCATAGATTTGACGAGCATGTCGTCTATGTACACCTCCATTGTGCGTCCGAGCTGATCGGCGAACATCTTGTTCACAAGGCGCTGATAGGTGGCTCCGGCGTTTTTGAGCCCAAACGGCATGACCTTGTTGCAGTAGGTTCCGCGGTCCGTGATGAATGCTGTCTTCTCCCTATCGTCAGGGTGCATGAAGATTTGGTTGTAGCCCGAGAAAGCGTCCATGAAAGAGAGTAGCTCGTTCCCTGATGTCGCCTCGACGACCTGGTCGATTCTTGGAAGGGGGAAGCAGTCCTTCGGGCAGGCCTTGTTGAGGTCGGTGAAGTCCACGCAGACTCTTCATTTGCCGTTTTTCTTTTTGACCACGACCGGGTTTGCGAGCCAATCCGGATACTTCACCTCGGTGATTTGCCCGGCTGCCGTTAGCCTAACTTTCACCTCTTCTGCTTGATAGGCCGGAAGGTTGGGTCGACGTTAAGTTCATGGCTGCATATGGCCGGGTTGATGCCGGGCATGTCGCTGGTTGACCAAGCGAAGCTCGAGACGATCTGCCTGGCCTTGCTCCCCTGGGAGCTCGGGTCTGACGACGTTGCAGGCAGGAACTCCGTTGCGGCTTATCGTGGCGCAGAGCTGAGTACGGGTGGCGTTGCGGAGCTTGTGCTCGATAATGAAGCACGAGCGCAAGATCCTCTGGTCGCTCCGGACTGTGAATGTACTGGTCTAGTTGGGGAATTTGAGGCACTGGTGGTAGGTCGAGGTGACTGCCTTCATCGAATGCAACCAAGGAGTTCCGAGGATGATATTGTATATGGCTGGCCGGTCAACGACGGTGAATTTGACTATTTTTGTTACCCGACCTACGTAGACCCTATCGATGTGATTATATCTCCTGCGAAGCCGGTCAGGGGAGTGAGGGTTGGCTACATCTCGACGCCATGTAAGTCCATCTTTTCGAGGACTTCCTTGAAGATGAGATCTACCGAGCTGCCCGTGTCGACAAGTACCCGAGTCACATCGCAGTCTGCTACGAGAATTTGGATGACGAGGGGGTCGTTGTGAGGTTGGTCGACTCCCTCGGCGTCCTCCTCGGAGAACGTTATTCCCCTACCGCTTGTGTCCTGAGCGTTGGTTGCTCTGATCTTTGCCACCCACATCTCTGTCGGGGTGGACTTCCGCTCGTGGAATTTGATCGAGCGAACCGAATCGTTGTAGGACAGGAGACCGCCCATGATCATTCCGATCATTGTTCGAGCCGGCGGTGGACGCCTGTCTCTGAGGTGCGACCTGCTGTTGCTGTTGTTGTAGTTGTTGTTGTTGTAACTGTTGTAGTTGTTGTAGTTGTTGGACGGGCTGGACTCTATCGTTTTCGCGAGAGGGAGAGCGCTGGCGGCGATTATCTTGTTGAGCTCGGTTGTCTTGACGACGCCGGTTATCATTTCAACCTCGGCCGCGCGGCTGCTGCTGGTCGGGGACTCTAATTCCCCCATTCTGGTACTGAGCGAGGAGAGCTTCCTGAAGGTTTCGGCACTGCTCGGTTGAGTGCCCCTTCAGTTGGTGGTACTCGCAGAACGCCTGGTTGTCTCTGGTAGCAGGAGCGGCAGCTCGTTCATGGACGACCTGAGCCGGGGACGGCAACTGGGCCGGTGGCGGTGCCTCGACGGTGCGATACCATTTGTTTGATGGGAGAGGCTGCTGATAATACTGCTGCGATGAGCTGGGTACGGCCATCCCAGGTCGGTTATACTGCGTATCGACTGCGCAGTGGGGGCTGTCTACGCGGAAGACGGCTAGAGCTTCTTCGACGGGACACGAGGTCGTTGCATCGCTGATGAGAAAGGTTGCGGCCTGCCTGCGCTGATATTCCTCGTCGTAGTGTTGACGGGGTTCGTGGTATTCGTCCTGAGCTTTTTCCTTTTGAGGTGGATTTTTCTGGGAACGAGCTTCCTAAGACTTGCCCTCTCCTCCTC